TGTGTGTGTGTGTGTGTGTGTGTGTGTGTGTGTGTGTGTGTGTGTGTTTAAATGTGTGTGTGTGTGTGTGTGTGTGTGTCTATGTGTGCGATGTCGTAGAGTAGAGAGAACGCCAATCATCTCCACCACGAGGACGACTCGGTCAGAGCTGCGTTCCCGCTAATGCCACGAGTGGTTTCCATCCACGGAACAAGGGAGCGGACGGAGATCATCGCCGCCACTCGAGAAGATTTTGAGATGGATCCGTGGATGGGCGTCGTGCCATGGACTGATCGCCCTATTCATTATTGGTGTGAAGAGGATTGGGAGTCCGCAATGTCCTTATGTCCATGGGCGAACGAGTATCGCTTTGCTAACATGTTGGAGTGGGGAAATATGATACAATTGCTGCCTTCGGATTTGTTGCCGCAAAAGACATTCGCCTTTGCAGCCTCCGATTCCAACTTCCACTTTCTAGAGTTCAAGTGCATCACAACCTCGCCCAGGACCTGGTCCCCAATTAAGTAATTTGAGTTGCTGACATGCGCAAGGTTCTGCGACTTCTTGAGTGACTACCCTTTGCCTGGTTGTCAGAATTCTTTCAATGTGATTTCCTACGGTTGTGTCCATGTGAAAATAGGACACCTGCCTGTCAGCAGGATATTATGTGTGGCCTGCACGAATAATGCAAGAACTTTGACAGACGCCGTCGTTTTTGCGACCCACAATAATTTACATCTTACTAAAGGTTGCCTCTTGCTTCTCAAGTGCTTAGGTAGGGAGGCCAAGTCCGATTTTATGCAGCACGTGAGAGTATCAGAAGGCGACCAAAAGTTGGAGATTGAGACTCACATTGCACGCATCAGAGATGCAATGGGGAAGTACTTGGCTAGAAACGGGACGTTTGTTCGCATGAAATACATCTCTCTTTTCTCGGAAAAGGGAAAATACAAAGAACCCCTCCGCCTTACTTACGGTTCGTCGTTGTCTGCTTCGTACGGGTTCAGTAAAAGACAATGTTTGCTTTCAACTTAACTGTAGGTGAACGGGTCACGGTGCAGCTTGGGGAGTGGAACTGCTCGTGCTTACAGGTGTATGTGAGAAATGTCGTGTCATGGTTTCGTCCGGCTTCCTCTGTGTTACGAAAGAGGGCGCGGGACAAAGGGCGCCATTGGCTTCGTCGGTGTCGGGCTCCAGGACCCGGGGTGGCGGACCGTGTTGCGGGGCCATGCCATTTTGTGATAGGACCCGGGGTGCAAGACTGCGTCAGTGCATTCAAAGACGGTTGCAGAAACAGGACATAGACTGCTGCTCTTCGCAAGTATTCGGAAAGATGTGGCGTGATTTCTTCTGGCATGTTCACCTGGCAAGGTCAACCGACTATGCTAGATGCAATTACTGCACAAAACAAACAGACCTTAGCGAAGGTGTCATGCCAGACATCAGACGAGGTCTCGTTGCAAAACTCAATCACCATAGGTCATTGCAGAAAGCACATCGTGAATTATATCAAATATGGTCGGCAGAGTCTATGTTCATGAGGAACAAAAACTTGTGCATTATAATTGATGGGATGGACCAAGCCAAAACGGTGATTCCTCACACAGCTCACCATAAGACATCAAAGGCGATGGACAATCACAAAATGATGAAAACAAACCTCACTGACATTCTGGCACGTGGGAGGAGTTCGCACATTATCGTTCACACATGGTTTCCTATTTTCTCGCACGGCGCTGACTCGATCGTGTCATCGGTCGCAAAGGTGTTAAGAGACATACAGAGACAACCAGGAGGGTTGCCTCCAGTTCTCAGACTCCAAGCTGATAACTGTGGGGTTCATAATAAGAACAAATATGTATTTGCGTTCCTGGCACTGTTGGTGAAATTTCGTATTTTTGAAGTAATGGAAATGGGATTTATGATAGTGGG